CCCACCCACCGACACACACACACAGAGAGAGAGAGAGAGAGAGAGAGAGAGAGAGAGAGAGAGAGAGAGAGAGAGAGAGAGAGAGAGAAATGATCGGGTCCTCGGCGCGCGGCTGAAGCACACCTTTCCGTTAAAATTGGAACGATACAGAGAAAGAAGATTATCATATGTCTGTGTGTGTGTGTGTGTGATGAAATCACGTTGCAATCATCAGCTAACATGGCCACTGCGCACGGATGACACGCATTCCATCGAGAAACGGTCGATGGAAAAAAAAAGAAAAAGAAAAAGAAAAAGAAAAAGAAAAAAAAAAAGAAAAAGGATAAGGTCACCTTTCCTGACGTCGTGGGCCCGTTCGCTTCCCGGCTGATGAGCGCGAGCATGGAACAGTGTGACGTTGTAAACTGAGATCGGCACTGCAGCGGTGCCACATGTGCGACAGGTCGCAGTCCGAAAGAGATGAGCGTCGCACACATCTCACTGCCAGATATGCCGCAATGCGCACGCGTTCTTCTTTTTTTATCTTTTTTTCCTTTTTTTTTCCTTGTTGGTGTCGGGTTAGCGACGTGAACCTGTATCCGCGGGCCTCCCACGTGGTCGCGTTCTTCTGTACTGGACCAACGATTGCCACGTGTACATGTTCTTTCTTCTTTCTTTTTTGGTAAAATTGCATCTGTACCCCATTTAAACATGGGAATACCGGCTATACCCAGTCCAGTAACCAACTTGCATCTATACCCTACTTTTCCCACGTGCCAACTTATACGCATACCCAGTCCCGCAGGCCCTTGAATGGGGACCACAAAATTATGCTAATGCCGGTAGGAACAGGGCAGGCAAAATTGGGTATTCAATGGGCAATGGGCAATGGGCAAATACACAAGCATGCATCACACGTACTAGAAGCGCACGAGATACATGGTCACCAGATGACAAAGTAATTCAGCCATGGTCAAATGAGCTTTAGGATGATAAAGACGATTGAAAATAGCCCGTCATCCATCTATGCAGACAGTTTGGCATGAGCATAAGGCATCATTTGAGCATCGGGGGGCCTCGGCCCACATGCCAGCGAATAGTATAGTTTACTGTAACCGCGGGGGCGCAGCCCGGGCAGAGGGGTTGTAGCTGGGATGAAGTTTTGAGTGTTGTAATGTGTTGTTTTATAGCAGGCCAGTCATGAGTTTTTGCATTATCTAGATTTGAACATGGGTCAGTATTTCAGCATTGCACATTGCTATACGTGCTGAGGTGCGGTCTTCGGTTACAGACCAAAGTTTGAATCCAGTCCAGAATCCATTGCTTCAGGACACCTCCAAAGAACAAGAACAAAACGAACAAGGAAAAAAAGAGGAAAAAAAAGAACCCAAGTAATGGCAAGCCAACATTGAATTGTGAATGA